TCAAAAGAATATTTTAAGAAAGATATATATCGTCCTAACTATTAAATTTGGGTGGAGTTAGCGTATGGAAATTAAGAACACAATTTTTTTTTTTTTTGTAAGTAAAGAACACAACTTTATATATAGCCAGCATCATACCAGAAAAATTAAGAAACCATTTACGACATATTTGACCAACCTGAATTAATTACGCAAACAACAATGTCGTGAAGCTCCTATTATAACATTTTAATTTCAGGATCTGGTCATGTTTGTTTTCTTTCATTATTTTTAATCTATTTTGGTTCGAGTCATATAATAAATAATAACTTGCCTATTTTTTTTGTCATAACCTTAGAAATACATGACACTGGGTTTTCTTATAATATATCAATCACTAAACTCGATTGCTAGAATCTCAATAATAATACTTTATCAATTCTTAGTTTATTGCCCATTTTTTAATACTTTTAAAATAAAAACTACAAAAATCTTGAGATACCCCTTACTTTTAAGCGTGAAACTATTTTCATTTTACATGTTGTTTTCTTTAGTTTTTAAATACTTGGGTTATAAATAAATTTTAGTATTGCTGAGAAATATTACATGTGTGGATTAGTATAACGTATGCTTTTTCGTATTTAGTTTTTTTCCTTTTTTTGGACAACGCATTGGACTTTTTGTTAAATGTAGTTATTGCTTTGTTACGAGTCGGTCCATCCTATTCCAACAAAGATGAATAATCCAGGGTATCATACAATCATTGTTTTTATAAATAAAGATGGGGTATATATATTTGCTGAGTTTCGCTTAAATTAGGCGAGACTCCCCCAGGTGTTTTGCTCAAATTGGGTGAGACTAATTTTGCCTAAATTGAACAAAAATTAGTGCAATAGATATGTCATTTGGTTCATAATGATTATATATTCAAAATTTTGTATTAAAATAATAAATATCAATTTTTTTGCCGACCCCACACAGTAAACATTATTTTCTTGAATTTGATTTTATAATAACAACTTATACTGTGAAATTTTTATCTAAATTTTTAATTCGGTAAAATAATATGGTTTTAAAACATTTCAAAATATATATATATATATATATATATATATATATATATATTATTAAGTTTTTAACTATAGATGCAACATTCATGTTACGAAAAAGTATATATTAAGTTTTTAACTATAGATGCAACATTCATGTTACGAAATAGACGTGAGTATACTCATTACACATGTGATTTATTATTTTTTATATTAGAATATTTGGAACTGGTATATTTTTATTATAGGTATTTGAATATATTTATAATTTTCTTAATATAAATTACAAATTTACATATATTTGTCAAATCACGTGGTTCAACCAGTGACCTACTGGTTAAATCAATAACCCAGCCTCCACTAGATCAATCATCGGTCGAGTTTAACAATAGCACCAAAAAAAAGAAAGAAAAATCTGAAGAAGCATAACATATTGCCAACCAAAGAGACTAAGCTACGCAACGAGGAGCCTTTCCTGTAATTATGGGCTTCACATTAAGACACTTGGCAGTTGCTGGAGCTCCATTGAATGTAAGATTAATATCACTTAGTTCCACAGCCTCACATGGTACACTCCTGCTGCATATAAGAGTCACCCCTTCCTTATTTCTTGAAGTGCCCCTAATGTTCTTGAAGGTAACCTTGCTTATCTTTATCTTTGATGGAACCTACGCCATTGCAAGCAAGCACAAAATAGAAAAAATAATTCAATAAGAAACCTCACAGCATAATATGAATGCAGATATAATCAAATTTTAGAGTAGCTACTGAATAACTACCTGTTTTGAGCACTGGTTCCAAGGACAGTACTCTTGGTCTATAATTACAGGGTTCAGGACATTATCCATGATAATATCTTCAAAATGCATATCAGTAACAGGAGAAGTTCCTGGAGCACTAGGCCAAGTCTTGATCCTCACACCATTGTCAGTACCTTTCAAAGTGCAATTCTTGATTACCAAATGTTCTACAGGCTCTTCATTTGTGTACTTTCCAAGGCTTCCAACACTAAAGCCATGGCCAGGTCCACAAATCGTATTCTGGACAAGTAAATTTTTGGTTCCATCTCCAATTGAGACACAGTCATCTCCTGTAGCAATTTTTGTGTTAATAATTTTTATATCAGTTGATTTTCCAACGTGGATCCCATCAGTATTGATGCTGTTTCCTGGAGCACTGATGATGAAGCCATCAAATGTGAAATTTTGGCACCCCAAAACATTAACATTAAAGTTTTTGCTGTCCTTTGAAGTTATGTCTCGAACAAGACCATGTTTTACGAAATTAAAACCAAAATTCTGTTGACATTTGTATATTTCACAAGAAACCTATGTTAGTAACATGTTTGGCATAGGTATTAGTTATTTGACAATTGAAATGGTCATATATTATTTACCATTGAACGCCTCTTGCAATTCTTGTTTAATCCACAATCATTTTCTCTCCAAGCAGTTGCTCCTTGACCATCAAAAGTACCTCTTCCTGATAAGGTTAAATAATCAACATATCCAAATTTAACCCATTGATAAGCATCATTGAGTGCATTTGGGTTTGCTGGTGCTTGGATTATGCCATCAAGCTGAACTTCAATGGGAGCCTTGCATGGACCTTTGACATCTATTGCATTCATCTTATATGTCCCACCAGGAATCACAATTTTGCTTGGAGTTGTTGATGCACATGCTGCATTCCAAGCTTTTACGAAAGCCTTGAGATAACATATAAAATACAAATCAATTACAAAACCATAATCATGATGATGAAGATCGATGTAGCAATCAAGTTATGCTTCAATGACAACTTAAATATGAATCTTGAACCTATGAGCGACCCTTAGGCCTTAAAAACAACCCCCCTTTAACTCGTTAAAAATTGTGTGTTCAATCATCTTTTTTTTTTTTTTGTGTGTGTGAATTCAACATGATCATACCTGTGTGATATCTGCATTTGGAGCTCCACCAAATTGTTTTATATCAATGACTGTAGATTGAGCTGTATCAAACGTAGCCAGCAATAAGAATAAAACAATTGCTGTAATACTCAACTTCATATCCATGTCGGATTACTATTGAACTTTGTCTTCTTGCGCTTGAATGATGTTTTCAAATTATGGTAAAGTAGTACTTATAGTGGAGTTTTGAAGCTTCAAAACAATTAAAAACGTAATCAATTTTCTATCAAAGGTAATATTGTCCAAGCAGCTGTTGGGTTGAGAACATGGTCTATTAACGGAAATTCATTTATTATCATTGATTCAGAAGTAGATTATATATATCCTTTGCTAAAATAAGCTTACAGGACATAAATTAAGGATTTTTGTTTGTGACATTCCTTTTTGGAAAGAAATCCGAAATACGTTGAAAGAGTGATTCATTTCGACAGAGAAAGGGCACACCAAAATAGGAGCATCCTCTTAACCAACAAAGTTGTATCAAAATAATTTCATCCTTCAAGTTGAAAAAAGGTTAGTTTAAGAATTTAAATCGATTCGTTGTAGTAATAAAATTAAGGGATTTATTTATCTTATGTTGCATGAGATAATTATCTGATGCAACAGAAACAAGATTGTGAGGACCACCATTTAAAAAAAATAGTGAATCCCACTACTTTATTTCTGTTGCATGAGATAATTATCTGATACAACATGAGATAATTATCTCATACAACATGAAATAATTATCTTCTTAAAATTAATTGTAATAACTGAGTAATAACATCTATATCGATATCTATATTGATAAAAAAAAATCTACATCTATATATCTATATTTATATATGTCTGTAGAAAATCGAAAGGAGAAGAACACTAGGTTTGCCTTCAGTAAGAAATTTTTTTACTTTTAATTTAAAAAGGAAATAATATAATAAATTAAGATTTTAATAATATAATTAGGGAATATTGGTTCTCTATTAATTAAAAAATATTAATATTTGATATTCATCATCTCTTAAATTTGAAAATATTGATATTAGATTGATTGAAAAACCAATTTGGTCAAGATTGATATGATTAATTGAAAAATCAATATTATAAAATTAATTTAGGATATATTATTGATACAGACAAAAGGAATATTGGAAGAAAATTTCTTTAGGGATGAAAAAGACAGTTGATAAGAATAATTTATTTGTTGGTGAGGTTTGTTAGTAAAGAATTACAATGATAAATGAATTATTAACTCAAGAACTATTAACTGTGTTTATTATTCATTGAGTAGCTAAAACAGTGTTACTATTGTATATTTAAACACGATATAACAGTTTCAATTTCTTTCCTCAATTTAATAAAATTTCATCATCATTTATTTGTTTTGATACATTACTTAGAGGTCTATTATATATATTAGTAGTTGTACTGTTGTATAGCCAAATAAATAAGTATTGTGGCAAAGAAACTACTACTTATTTGAATTGCATTATATTATGTTGAAAATTGAAAATGAAAAAATTTGAGCAGTCACCACAAAAGTTATTTTGTGAAGATATTTTTTTTATAAAAAAAAAACCTTTTTATTAAAGTAAAGAAAAGAGAGATCGAATTCAGTGTCGATTACTTGAATCATTCACGCAGAAACCCTTCGCAATGCCCGTTTTGGGCACGAGATGTAATATTTTCTATACCTTTCAAGTTTTAAGTTTTAACAATCCCTTTAAGCAATTTTATGTTCCTTGGCAAAAGGTTTGGAATAAGCAACCAACATCAATAATCTTATTTCTAGTTAACGTTGTTAAATAATAGTGAAATATGTTCAAATTGCTGCTATGATCAACATCATCGACATTAACATGAATATCACTTTTATCCCAAATTAATTAGAGTGGGCAATCAATGAATCCAAATGAAAAGAAAAAAAAAGGAGGGAAAGGAAGGTAAATTAAAAAATAAATAAATAAAAAAGAGATTAAAAATAAATAAAAATTGAAATTGAAAATTAAAAAGAAAAATTACAAAAAAGAGAGAGAGAGAGAGAGAGAGAGAGAGAGAGAACCCAAATGAAATTGCTGCTATGATGATAATTTAAAAATAAAAGTGAGCACCTCAGTTAAATTTTCTTATTTTCTACTGAAATAATACAAAACCTTCTATCCTTTTTGGTTCCAGAAAACAAGGTCCAACAAGCTGGATGATCTCTCTCAAGTACAACTAAACCCACAATAATAACTCAAAGCAGCGTTACACCAGCTTCCCTGAGAGAATCAATAACCGCTTTAACTTTACCATGATACTTCTGTTCCCTCTTCAAGTGAACAGAAACAGCAGGAATGTCCTTAAGCAAAAGGCGTTCAGCTAGTATCTTCCCAATCTTTGCAGCCGCAGCCACATCACGACTAGTTTCCAAGCTTGATCTCAAGGCTTTCTCCTGTGAGCTTGCAGAAGAGGCTACAGTAGCAGTTGGGGTGTGGATCACCTGGGCACTCACATACTTATTGGTAAAATGCATCCTCAGAACATAAGGTTTGAGAAATTTTGTAATCCGGGGAGGCCTGACTGGAGGTGGGATAACCATATCTGTTTGCAATATAATCTTTGTTAAAATAAGTATATATTTAAAAAAATTCACTTTCTTGTGTCACATTTTTGGCATGTCACACATAACTCAAGAAAATATCAACTATCTCAAAAAATAAAAATATTGTCAACTGTCAAATTGGTAAACTATATATCAAACAAGAAGCCAAGCATCTCAATTTATCTACGAAATATAAGTTCATTTCATGTTTTGACTATCTAACGAATATAAATTTCAAAATATTAGCTAATTAAAACTTTCCCCCTTTCAACATTCCTCCGCTGGTTATATGATGCAAAATTACTCAAGACTATGAGCTATGCAGAGTTTCTCTTTCAAATTTTCTATATAAAATCTTGATACCAAGTAAGACAAAATGCTTTGGTTCAAGCTAATTTAGCAGGTTGAGGAGGTGAAACAACAGAAAACCATACATGTAGACAGGATTATATCCAGCTATCATTAATAAACCAAATATTACATTGGATTACCACATAGCATATTGAAAACTCATCTTTCAATGCCTTATCACATTTGGTAGTTCAAACTTCAAAGCTTCCTCTAAAGTCAAGTCTTTTGTTTGGACAGCAATACTTAACAAGATTTGTAGACCTCATCCTCACAAGTTTTTTTCTCCCAACATGTGTGTTATACTGCTATGTCCAGATCTAGTTGAGAAAAAGAAGCCCACTTATTTTTGCTTTGTAAGGTATCTACTTTCTCTTGGAATAATCTTTTCAAGGTTACTGGGGAGCACTGGGCATGCCCTGATTTGTAGTAGTATTTTTATGGTTGGTTATAAAAGGCTTTGGTAAAAACATGAAGACACTAAATTTTGCAGCAGCGTGCACTGTGCAGTTTATGCAGTCCTATGTTGTGTGTGGTTGCTTGCAGCTTAAACGAAGTTTCTTTGCCCCTAAATTGTCATGTGTCGAGTTACGTTTTTGGCTTCTCATTAGTGTTCTAAACATGACTGATTCAAGGGAATTGCTATCTCTGATAAGCAGAGAGATTGGGCATGCTGCATTCTATGTTCTCCTTGACTTTTTATTTTGAGTCTCCTCGACCGGTTTATACTTCGAATTAGTCCGGTTCGAACATTGTCAGACCCTATAGAGGGGGCGGCTCTCCTAAGACCATTTTTTCTATTCCCAGGCTCGAACACGAGACTTCTGGTTAAGGGACACAAGTTCCTTACCACATATGCCAATGGTGTTTGGAGGATTTCTTATTTTCCTTTACCAAGTTGTACCTTCTCTTTTAAGTAAACTTTGCATATAACTAATACCTTTCAAGGAGAAATTTGGACTTAATACAAGGTACAACCACTTGTGTCTTAAAATATTATCACTTTTCCCTTTTGTGCATTATATGATTGCCTTTCTGATAAAGTTACAAGGTTTTGCAATAGTTTAAAAAGTAAACGTTTTCTCTATCTTTCTTTAAAATATTAGAATATAAGATAAAGTTTTACAATTCACTCGAATAACAGGTCGGTAAGCATATTCATACCAAACAATAATAGATAGGTAATGCAAATCTTGGCCCAGGATCCAACTATCTATTCAAAAAGCAGTTGGAAACAACCCAAAAACTGGAATAAGGAGTGGTTCAAACCCAAGAAGATCTGTCAAGAGCACGTTGTGACAACCCAAAAACTTGCAAAATAATGACCAAGTAGTTCTCCAAGAAAAATCTAGAACAAGTAATTTTCAAAGAAATCGAAAAGGGAAGAAGAAGTTTTAATTGGAGCAGTTGTGTCTGCAAAAATAGCTGTGAGACCAAGGTAGTATAAAATGCAGATGGATGGACATGGGAGTTGTGCAATCTGCAGAACAGAACAAGATGAAGCGGAGACTATCTAGTTCAATCTATTATGTAATCTGGCTGACCAACAGAGTAATTTCTGGTTCCTCAGCATCATCGTTGCGCCGTCGAAGTAATTCAGATTCGAGCGAAGCCAAAAGAGCAGAGGCAGGAACTAAGACATTAAAAATAACAATAACCCATTTCTTATTTAAAAAAAAAAATGAATATAGATAAAAAAAATTCATTGGCAACTTTGATCAAACAGTTCATACGCAACTTTCATAAACCCATTAATTGAGGCGATGAAGGTGCCGGGTAAAACAAGCAAAATGTAAAGGAACAAACAAGGAATGATATTATATGATTGAATAGATGTAAATAACGAAGGTGAAGAAAGGGGAAGCGTACCTGAGGCTGAGGTGATTGTAGGAATTGCACAGCTTTTCGAACTCCGATACCTCACTCAACTGAAAAGTCCTAATCCCCTATGCCCAAACTAAACTCCCACTTTGTCTAAGAAATATTTACGGTCCCACTCTTGTTATCTATTTGTTTAGGAAAAGTGTCCCTCGCGATTTTATTTATTTTTATCTAAGTCCACAATTAAATCCGTTAATAATTAATTTAATGTGTGCTAACAGAATTCTAAAATTAATTATTCAAGAGCAAAGTGACAAAATCAATATCATAAATAGTACAATAATATCAACACAAAAACATTGTTTTTTTTTTTTTTAAAAAAAATATGGAAACATATCATATTTGTTCTATTTTATTTTTATTCTTCAAATTCTTAAACAGAAATTTTACTAATATAATTAGTTGTGACTCATATGATAGATAAATTTGAATTAAATTATTTAGAATGTAATGTTATCAACGGTTGAAATTCTAGGTGATTCTTTCGTTCAATTGCATTACAAAATTCATGTGAATGAGAAAAAAATTTATTCATGATCATTATTATCAAGTAGAGTAGCATTGATGTGAGAGTTAATCTCAATATTCCAAATGAGTTAGGCCTTGGGATTAGTATAAGGGAAGTCTACTTCTTATTTTGCTGTGAAAAAAAATCTTCTTTTACTATCGATTATAACTATATATTTCAAAAAATATATAATTATAATAATAAAATTATTTCTTTTTTCTCTTTACAAGTTGTCGGCTGACATAAAAAAAGAGAAAAAATAATTTTTATATCATAAATATATATATTTTTTGAAATATAAAGTTATAGTTGGAGACAGAAGAAGATTTTTTGTTTGTAATAACAGGACAAAAAAGTAGCCTTATTATAATATCCAAAAAAAAGTTTGGAAATGCTCAAAGAAGAAGAAAAAATTCTACTCAATGATTCTCAAATTGGATAAGGAAAACACCATGTTATTTTTAGAAGAAAAAAAAATTGATTTCAAGATTGGTTTAAAGATGAATAACTAAACTTTAAGTTATCCTTATATTAAATTATAATAGCCCTAGCCTAATACCCCTTAAAGTCACTTAACATAAGTTAAGTGACCAAAGCAACTAAAGGACCCCATTTCTTCTTCCCAACCCATCGAGCCACCAGGAGAAAAAGACAAAGAGAGAGAGTGAAGAGCAAAAGAGAAAGGAAGAGAGGGAAAGCCATAGATCCTTCAATCCTCAACCATTTTGACTGATTCCAAAGCCTAAACCACTCCAAATCTTCTCCTCTTCTATAACCCTAGCTTGGTTTTGTGTGGGAAGCATTGTGGTGGGAGATCTCTTCCTCCCAAAATTTGACCCACATAGCTTTTGGAAGTGTTTGAAGACATTTCCTTCAAGGAGAGCTTAGGGGATTCACACTCCTTGGTTGTGTTGTGCAACCTTTTGTGGTGAGTTTCCACTCCTTGAATCTCGTTTTCATGAGTTAGGTTATGATAAATAGTGTTTTTTTAGGGTTTTAATGATAATGTGAGTAGATTGACTATATTCTAGGAGGATTGAAGCTTAGTGTATGTTGTGAAAAATGCTCGGAATGTCACTTAATCGGTGAAAATGAGCTTAGATAGTCAATTGATTATATTTTGAAAATTACAAGATTATATACTTCATTGTGGATTTTCTTTCATTAGTAATCAATGGTTTGGTTTGGTTGGATATTGATTGTGTCCATGTGATGTCTAGGATTGAGGCAATTGAACCAACCTTGAGTGACCAACCATTGGGAGAAGCTATGGAGCTTGGTTAGCTCATTGGAATAGGTAAGCTCATGCTAATTGATGGTGTAAAGTTGTTGTTATGTTGATGGATATACAAATATTCATTTGCTTGTATGATTGATTTTGTAACACCTTGGTGTAGGCGTGTATTTTACAAGTTATAGCTTGAATTTGAAGTTGACTGGTTGTAAAACGTGTTGGTGAGCAAAGGTTGGACTGGAGCTTGGAGGTAAGCCTTCGGACCTTGGGTGTAAATCCCTTTATTGTTCCACCAAGCCTTGAATGGGTAGTGGTTGTTTATAGTGTATATAAATGCAATGAAATAGTTTAATGCTTTGTTATACGTATATGTATGCTTTTGGTGTGGCATAGGATGGTGTTTCCCTATGTTTTGTATGTTGCATGACGATGCATAATTCATACTTGGTAGTTTAGTTGGCCAGTAAGACTATTTGCATCTGAGTATCCTTAGGACAACAAGAGCTCGAGGGATTTCTCCTGGAGATGTTTGTTACACACTGCATGGATATGTATTTATTGCATTATTTATTGTTATTGCTATTATACTGTGATTGAACGATGGGGTGGAGAGATTTTCCAAGGACCCCTGGTTTACTGTGATATATTCGTATATCTCACCCCGTGTTGTGGGGACCCCCTTTCAGGTGCAGATGCTGCAAGAGCCTCTAGTGACAAGTGGCCGTATTTGGATTAGATGGTCATATGTTGATAGCCTCTCATTTTGGATTGCATCTCATGTAGGATAGAAGATGTATATGTCAACCACATTGCCACATGTATATGTATATTTGAGGTCACATTATGCATCTTGAGGGACTTAGTGCATGATCATTGTGTTGGGGAATGCCTTGTGGTATTGGATAAATAACTTTGATCATGTTCCTTTTGTAGCTAAGTCCCTTGGCATGTATATGAGATTTGTAAGAACAACGATGTAATTGAGACCTTGATGGATTGATGAATATGTAGTATGTTTATTCTGTTGATTTGTATGATAGATTTGGACCCTTGTGTCTTAATAGAAGTTGTAGATCTTCTTCTTAGCTTTTCAATGAGACCAAAATTGTGCAAATAAGAGTAGTATAACTAAAGTTATGGACAAAATACTAAAGGAGGTCAAATTGCCCAGTGGGGGGGGGGGGGGGTTAAGCCTGAAAATGGAGGCTTAAACTCGCTCAGGGGGCTTAAGCGCCCTGATGCACCTGTGAAGGCCAAAAACTTTCTGCCGATGGGCGCTTTAGCTCCCTGGAGCGCGCTTAAGCGCCATTGGTGGCCTAAAAATCCCATTTTCCTCTGCCTTTGGGAGCTTAAGCTCGCTGGAGCGTGCTTAAGCGCCCTGCCGTGCGAAAAACTAGGTCGTGGAGGGCGCTTAAGCGCGCAGCCCGTTTTCAGCATACACATGATTTAGTAAAATTGGCATAACTTGAGCTACAGAACTCTAAATTGGGTGCGGTTTGAACCCACGCATAGCTAACAAAGAGATCTATAACATAGTGTGAGATGATAACTATATAGAAGTACAAGAATTCCAATTTAATAAAAGGTGAAGAGAGTTTTGTAGTGAACTCGAACAAAATGATAATATGATGTTAAGTCTAGTTTTGATTATTCTGCAAGGTAATAAGGTTATGGTCATGCAACTGGTTATTTAAACTCGACATTGTTAAAAAGGAAAAGCAAGTAAGTTTTAAAAAGAAAATGAAATTTATCCGGATTTTTAATTGAACCAACGTGATTGTAACTGCGCTTAATATCGTAATGCAATGTTAACAAACCGGTTCTAGAACGAGGTGTTACATAAATAATTAACTAAAATTTTTTAATAGATAATACTTGTACTAGTCAAGCTTCTTTAATAATGTATACTTGTTTGAAGTTTTATACAAATAGAACATAAAAATCAAATCATTAACTGTTTTAAAATGATAATACTATAATAACTATTCATAATAATTTGTTAACATAACAAATATTTTTTTTAAAAAAATTTCTTAAACAAAATTCTCCCCGTTATCCATGAAGCTGGAGCCATATTATTTAGCAAAAAATCATTGCATAATTATATAAGGTGTGTATTTAATCTAAATATAAATAAATTCTTAAGGATGAATGAATGCACGCGTCAGGTTTGGACACAGCGTCCCTTCCTATTATCTGTGAACAACCCACCTTGGTTTTCTCATTCTCAAAATAACCGTTTCGCATTTTGTACGCTCATACAACCAACATAACTGTCAATTCATTCATGTCTCCATTCTTTTCTTTCTCTGCAAATGCAAATGCAAAAGCAAAACCCTAATTGTATGTAATCGAAAGAGATGAAGAAAGGTCTTTTCAAGCCAAAGCCTCGAACACCAGTGGACCTGGTGCGCCATGCCCGGGAACTTCTTATATTTGTCGACACCAAAACAGAGATTCGCGAAAATAAGCGTGAAGAGAAGGTAATTAACCTTCCTTCAATGTCTACTGTTTGAGGGAGTGAAAAATGATCGATTTTGTTGGAAAAATATTGTTTTTCTGGCTACATCACCTGCAGAAATTAAAGTAGAAATTAAGGAGACAAAAATGCCCAAAAATAAAACACCTAAAGCATGAATATTCACCTTCAAGTTTCTAAAAATAAAAAATGCAGAAATATTAGTTAGTGCATCACATTGTTATGTCAAATTATATATTTATGTTGATGTTTTTGATATTTCAATTGTGTTTCGTATTGCAGCTTTCAGACCTAAGCAAAACCATACTGGAGATAAGGACTGTTCTTTATGGAAATGGTGAATCAGAGCCAAATCCTGATGCATGTTCTCAGGTGACTCAGGAGTTTTTTAGAGAGGACACATTTCGCCTTCTTATCATCTCTCTTCCAAATCTGAAACTTGGGGTAAACATGAATTTTTATTACCAATCCTTGGATTAAAGGCCTAGAGCCCCTTGCACATACATACATATATATATAGCATGCATTTTTTTATTATTTTTTGGGACTCATCTATTATTCGTTACATGGTTTTCTCTAATTATGATCTGCTGCTTGTTTTTATAAGAATTCGTATCTATGCATTCCTATGTAGGCCCGTCAAGATGCAACTCATGTGAATGCAAACTTGCAAAGGCAGCGAGTTAATTCAAAAATAATTGCTTCTCAGTACCTGGAGAATAATTTAGATCTTGTGGATATTATGATACATGGGTAAGCTTTTTGAGATGAACGTTGAAATTTGAAATGTTGTTTGTTAATTTCCATACTTATGGTTAAGTTGATTTTATTAGTTATGAAGAAGACGGTGACATTGCTTTGACGTATGGTGCTGTTGCAAGAGAGTGCATACGCCACCAATGCGTGGCAAGGTAAGCAACTCGAATAATCTGTTTCTTAATTAATTGTGCAATTGAGGTCTACATATCATGTTACGTTCTCATTACATTCTTGGTATATTAGCAGTACTACCCCTGCCTGATTCTAGGAGTAATGTATTTAGAATGAGGATCATAATTTTTGTTGACGTCAATAGGTTTGATTCTTGTTAATTTCCGGATAATAAAAAAAAGAAAAATATGCATAGGATTATATATGGCTGACCGAATCCTGCTCCTGGAAATTGAGTATCCGATTCCCTTTTCTTTTTCCTCTTCTAATTAATTCTGACAAGCTTATTTATGCTTCTCAGGCATGTCTTGGAATCAGAGTACATGAAGAAGTTTTTCGACTATATTCAAGCACCAAATTTTGAAAAAGCATCAGATGCGGGTGCTACTTTTAAAGTTGAGTAAGCTTATGACACTATATCTTCAAACTTCCGTTCACAAATCTTTGCAACTTCTCACAGCTGTTTATATATTCTTTTACTTGCGAGAAAGGTCCAAAACAAGCTATATATAATGAGTTCGCTTTTTCTCATGTCACATGACAAGACCATTTTCCTGCACACACAAATTAAGTGTGGGTCCCACGCTTTAAAAAAAAAGTCAAACCAAAATCAGGATATGGAGCCGTATCCTCAAGATACGTTGCCGGATCCTTGTTGCAGGAATCCTTGTTGCAATGTCATTCCTGCAACATGATTCTTATATTTCCCATGTATAATTCGTTGCAAATATGTTTTTTCTGGACTTTTTTTGTTCTATAACGGATGCTAGAACAAACTGTATAAATATGTTATGAAGGACATGACAAGATATTTTTGTTGTTTTTGCATCTTCTATTTGTCCATCGTTCTCAATGACGTCCAAACTCCAAACAATATTGACTTGAACTATCCAGGCTTTTATTGACTTGCGATGTATCCATGTGAAAAACTCTATATTTGGGACCGTGTGTTATGAGAATTATTTTTTATAGGTAAGTTCGGACAACTAAAATTGACAAGAAACATGATCTGCTATTTCATCTGTGCTCGAGACAGGAAAATCCGATTACCGAAGTGTTGATATATCATTTGTTGCTAATATAGAGTTTTGGATGCCACTATTTTGTTCCTGTAGCAAATTTATTGACATGAAAGCTGATCCATTCCCCTGATTGATGTACACAGGAGCTATTAACAAGGCATAAATCTACAGTCGCTGACTTTCTTTCTAAAAATTATGACTGGGTAAGTGCGCCATACAAAGTCTATCTACGTAGTATATCATTATGTCATGCACCGCAGGTCCACAGATTTAGTGTCTGCAAATTAGAGAATGTAAAAGCAATCAAGGCTACAGAAGGGGGATATAATTTTCCCCTTCCATTGTTGTAGCTTCCAACGTGTTATTAAAAATTTAAATCAGTCAATTTCGGTTTTATTAGGAGTTCACATGTCATGAGTTCGTGGCTTCCTGGGTGGAATATAAGGTTTTGCAGCTTATAGTTGATGTCAATATGACTAATTGTAAGGCTGATTTGGGCCATAAATTGATTCACATTTGAGTCAATATGGATTAGATAACTGAAGTCACTGCTTTTTTTCATAGTTTGCAAATTATTGAAGCACGAGTAGTTTGGTTGTTTTCGTTCAAAATTACGAAAGCTTTATGTTTTATCAATATTTTAATGGGGAAAGTTATATTTACACACTTTTTGTTTACAAACTCTTATAAACTACACTATGTCTGACCGATCATATTTTAATCAAGAGTGTATGACTAGTTATAGTTAGTGTAATTTGTAAAAAATATTTGTAAACGGATCATTCTCCTATTTTAATATATCACCTTAAACGTTTTACTCTCTGGCTGTCAGTTCTTCCAAGAGTACAACTCTCAGCTGCTTGAATCTACCAGTTATTTCACTAGACGACACGCTATCAAGGTATAAATATCTCTTCTGATAATGCACCGTCATTGATTCTTTTAAGTCTTATATTCATTTTTACTTTCATCGTGTTTTTTCTTTGGTTCAATTTTATCATCTAGTTAATCAAAGAACATTGGTTGCCCATTTTAAATGCTTGCATTTGATCACAATTTTTTATCTATTTGTTATTGTAATAAACTTGAGGATATTTTATACTTACCATTTTTTTTGCCATCTTTTACGATCAATTTAATTATTGTTAGATTAAAATCAAATCAATGTTATTTTGTATTTTAATCCAAGATAACAAAATTGACTATAGATAGACTTTATACCTCTAATGGAATACTTAGATGCCAGCCGAATTTTAACTATCACTTAATTCTTACATATAAATAAATGCTGAGGCACTAGGTGTCTTTAATGCCACTGAAATAGAGTTTGAAGGTTTGTACATATTCTATAGCGTTTGCTTGATTAGTATTGAGTATATAATATTAACGTTATATTTTTACATAACACTAAGCCTTTATCATACCCTGTTTCTTTAATAAAATACGGTACAGTTATTAGGTGATATGTTATTGGATCGCTCGAATTCTGCTGTGATGGTTCGGTATGTGAGCTCATTGGATAACTTGAGGATCCTCATGAATCTCCTAAGAGTATGCTTTCTCCTGTACTCACATTTTTCAGACTTGCAAAATATAAACTAAAAGTACTTATTTGTTCCCTCCCTTAATCTTAATTTGCAGGATTCAAATAAGACAATTCAGTTGGAAACCTTCCACGTTTTCAAGGTGTGGAATGGAGCATACTGTTCTTTATGTCCTTCTGAAGTGAGCGTTCTTAGCTTCAAGTTAACTATTTTAATTTCTGGTATTGACAGCTATTTGTTGCAAATCAACATAAGCCTCCTGAGGTTGTGGGCATACTTGTTACAAACAAGCATAAGCTTTTGCAATTTTTTGCTGACTTCAATAGCGACAAAGGTATGAAAGGTCTAGTTTCATTTCTAATTTACAATATTTTCATTTTTTTATTTTGTGTCTGAGTTAGCTCTGCCCTTTTTCATTTGCAGCGGACGAGCAATTTCAAGCAGATAAACAACAAGTAATTAGCGAGATAATCACTCTTGAACACAAGGATCGTCCATGCACATCTTTGGACAATTGTGAAGTTCCATGTTGAATACTACGTGCCCCAATTCTTAGTTATCTTCCACTTTTCTTTTGCTATATGTGCAGTCTCATTGGCTCCTGATTTTTATTCTTTGGTACATGTCATCATATCTATTGGGAAGAATTAAATACAACTCTTCAATGTAAATAGAAGAAACAACAGTTTTTGGCTAATTTATTATGGGATTAATGTTTCTTATATTGTTAAAGAAATAATTATCTCTTACATACATATAAAAGTATGTGGGTTTATATGGGGCTACGTAAAGAAAAGAGAGAGAAAAAAAAATATGGTATCACATACTTTTATGTGTGTATAAGAGATAAAATTATCTCTTTCAATATAAAAAACACTAATTCCATTTATTATTTGAATGATTAAAAATTTTATTTTCTTTTGTGTTTACATGTAAATTCGAATTCTTACAATAGAATTTATTTTCTATTGTAAGAAACTCTAAATTCGAATTTATTTTTAGTATAGAACCTAATAGTGTTCGGATTGGACCTAACCCAAAATGTTCCAGTCGGGTTACATTGGGCCTGGTTTCAATTAAATTTTGGGCTGGGACCAAATCAATATCTAGATTTGAATGAATTTTTGGGGTTAGGGAGACATATTTTTAATGGCTCTCATTTATTTATGTATCACATTTTTTTTTCCAATTCGATATTTTTGACAAAGTAAATTTATTTTTTATGTAGTCGATAACTCTTTTATTCTATAAGAACATAATATTCTATGAAGGGTGATTACATTTTTGGGACCTAGGCAATTAACATAATCATTTTGTCAATCTCAAAGCATTTTGTTCAGCTGAAAATAATTTTGTACATTGAGCATTTTTAAAATTATAGCACGTAAATTGGTTCCTCCAAAGTCTCAAATTGAAATTAAGCTTATTCAAGAAATTTAGATTTGATATTATATTACCATCTATTAATGTATTGAAATATTACTAGAAATTTAAACTTTCTAAATTAATAATTATTATAATATTTTTTTTTTAAAGATTGATGATCGAATGATAATAAAAAAAAAATTATAGACAATGAATGAAAAACAAATCCTTAATCATGTTTGAGTCAACCAAATTTATATATATTCAGAATAAAATTTTGTATTTAGTTATGAAGAAAATAAAAAGTATTTCATCAGTCATTAAAAGTAATAATTTTGAAAAATTAAATTATTATGTTATATAATTTGTAATAATTGTTATCGAGAATTCGAAAGGGTAACGGAAACAATTCTTCATATGTTACTAAGAATGTAAGATGACGCATTTAATGGAAATAAAATATTAGAAATAATAAATAATATAAAATAAATAAATTAATCCCGTGCATTTCAAATTCTATTTGTTAAAACCCTAAACCCACGAACTTGAACCTTCTTCTTCTTCTTCTTCCTCCTTGCGCCCCGTCTGCGAAGCGTTAGGGTTTGTGGGTGTGCGATCGCAACTTCAGTTTGGAATTGAAAGTAATCAATCTTGGTGTTGCGCTAATTACTTTTCATTTCGTGGAAGTGGGCACTGCTATCTTCATCTTCATCTTAATCTTAGTGGGTAAGTACACCTGGAAATGCATGAATACCACAAATATTTCGATTTACTAACTTGATTTTATGTGGACCAATTCGATTTTTACAGATTTGCCATGCTGGCCCTTTCGAGAGGCCTCGTTTCTCGTCTGCAACTTTTCGCTATCGATTCGGTGGCCACACCATCGCCGGTGCGGTTTTTGAGGGGATTCAGTTCGGATGTGGAGACTCGGATTATTGATGCAAAGCCCAGTGTGATGACCCCAAATTCCAAACGAACTGGGGTTATAGCTGTCAAGTGTGGAATGAATGCACTTTGGGATAAATGGGGTGCTAGAATTCCAATCACTGTGCTTTGGGTCGATGATAACATTGTCTCTCAGGTCAAGACACCCGAGAAGGAAGGGATCTGTGCTCTCCAGGTGTGTTCTCTTCTCTTACCATTTCTTAAACGTGTCACTTCAATCTCAGGTCAAACGGAAGAGTAATCTATATCAAGTCCAATGTCCTGCTTCTTAATTCAGCTCAAACATTACATTTTACTTGAATGCATACTTTCATTTCCCTTATTTACTATGAGGTTTTTTCCCCATAGAAATACCACGACTTTATCATGGTATGGTGTTTAATGTTGAGAGTGTATGTGTGTGTATCTAATAATAGACTTCTTTGCTACTTTGTTTCTAGTTAGATTGGTTGTGGACAGAAGAAGGATAAACATTTAACCAAGCCTGAAGTGGGACATTTTAGGGCTCAGGGAGTTCCAATGAAGAGGAAGCTTAGGGAGTTTCCGGTGACAGAGGATGCACTTCTGCCTGTAGGGACATCACTTAACGTTCGCCATTTTGTTCCTGGACAATATGTTGATATCACCGGAATCACAAAAGGAAAAGGTTTTCAGGTGTTTTTCTATTTCCTTCATACTCATACTTTTTCTTAAATTCTTTGTTAATTTGTGTGTTATGTTTATGCATGTTGTTGTGTCTTCATATGTGTCTATATAATATACCCGTATGATGATAGTTGGATCATGGATGCATGGTGTTCTTTGTATGTTTGTTGAGATGATTAGTAATTATTTTGTCAAATGTCATTAAATTTGTGCTTGTTAGGCCAAAGTAAATGACCAAATAGGATTGATTTTTGTAAAGGCCAATTGATCCTGTATAGGTGCAGAAATTATATTAGAACTCAGTTTTTAATAGTGTTTTTATTTTTTAATGCTACTCCCGTGGGCAATTGGTTAACAAAAGCTGCAGTTAATCTCAAATATAGATTAAGATGCTGCTAACAACAAATAAGATCAATAGTTGCCACTTCCCAAAGTCCCAATGCTACAAAAATAAGTTGACAAATTCATTAGACATTGTAATATGTACTATGTGACATTATGTTTTTGTTCATTAATTCATTTACTTCTGGACATCCATTGGTGTGTAGGAGCTTCAACTTGCATGTACAAGTTTAGTTGATGGCGCATTGTTATTCTTTTCTCCCCTCCCTCTTTGCTTGAGCTCACGGAAGGATAGAAAGAGCAAATTTTGCTTGCATGCTTTCTAGGGGGTGGTTTATCATTTTGTTTTCCTGTTTCTTAATTATTTATATTTTGTTTATGCCTGGGGATATTTCTCTGTTTCATGTTAAATACTTTCATGTGAAAAAAAAGACAATAAAAGGATGCTACCATTTTATGGATCTATGCCTTTTCAGTTAAATGAGTGTTAATTTCCATTATCATTTTTGTTGCCAGGGTGGGATGAAGCGGCATGGATTTAAGGGAATGCCAGCATCCCACGGTGTATCCCTAACACATCGACACATTGGTTCTACAGGTCAAAGGGATGCTCCTGGAAGGGTAAGTTGAACTCCTTTAGATTTGTATTCTTTCTTAATACACAGCTTTCTGTATTTTGTACGTTGAGATATACCAGTTTGGTCCTTTGAATAATTTTATCTTGGTTTACGAAAATGTTACTCTCGTATAGTTGTGCTAGTCAATTTTTTCTCTCCGTTACCCTTCAGGTTTTTAAAGGTAGAAAGATGCCTGGGCGAATGGGTGGGCAGCAAAGAACCGTTCAAAATGTATGGGTCTACAAAATTGATCCCGCAAGGAATTTGATGTGGGTGAAAGGCCAGGTAATTTTTTATTTTTGTTTATTCTTCACTTTAAACTATGAAATTGGAACTAAAGGTTAGGAACTATATGATATCAACGTCAGAAATCGTGTTATATATATATATATATATATATATATATATATATATATATATATATATATGAGCTAAAATTTCTTGCAGAGTGCGCCTTGTATGTCATGAATTTAGGACTGATGTCAGTAGGTAATCATGGATGGATCCGTATTCGGTCTGTATTTATTTTAGTGGTTGATTTGCAACTTCTTGGTTCACAATTGTTCATTAACTCACCAAATATTTTTGGAACTTGGGCTTCATCGGTGACTGCTTATTTCTCTTTGTATGATGTGCACAACAGGTCCCAGGAGCTACGGGGAACTTTGTTTTTATAAAAGATGCTGTGTATGAAAAACCTGACATATCTCTTCTTCCTTTCCCAACTTACTTTGTCCCAGAAGATGAAGATATAGATAATTTGGAACCTTTGGTTGCTGATCTTGGGGATGTGGATCCATTTATGGTTACTGATTAAAGAGCATAGTTGAGAAGCTGGTTTATTCATGTTAGTTTTACTGCCCGCAATCGTGTTATTTTCTTTGAATATAGATGGCAAAGTGAGATTTTTGAGGAACCATCAGGGATGATTTTTCACTTGAGTCTTTTACCGCAGCTTTAGGGTTACTTACGACATTCACCGACTCTAAATTGAGATTGGGTAAACGTGGCTTTTTTGGAGTCCTACTAATAAGTGTGGAGACTTGGGATTAATGAATTATGTTGCTTTATTCTAGTTGAATCGTTTCCTTTTTTTTTTTTAGCCAATTTAATTGACTTCGAACATTCAGTAACATAATATTGACCAATTTTATTTAATCTGTTATGATCGTGATAATTTTGGAAGTGACTATGTTTTTGTGGAACAGACTTGCAAGACTTATATATGCCATCTGTTTAAAGGTAAAAACAATGAATGAACCTGGAGCCCATATAATGAATGGGACGTCAAACGATACATTGATTTCATGGTATTGGTGGCACTCTTGTTTGCATAAAAGCAATATGAGGCAGCTCATCCCATTGCAACACGCACCTGTACAATCTAAGTGGGTGAATTTAGCATAGCCGTAGTTTCTATTCAGTACTTGTTTTGTTGAACTTAATATAGGATAGGCCTTCAAGAATAAGTGTTGATGGTTATTAACATGTAATGCTCAAGAGGACGTCAAAGTATATATTTGTACAATCTAGACTTGAGATTTGATTTAGCGTAGCGTTTTGATTGATTGAACCCTATAAAGGACGTTTGTTGATAGTTTCTATCCATAGTTAACGTTGGGGTCAAGCGTCAGCTGGTTGTCCGATATTGGTCTCTATGAGTGACTTGACATGCCTTTATTTTTTTATTCTCTCTTTTTCTTTCACTTCCAATATAAGTTTTAAGTGGTTTACGAATTCCGGGAACTTGGGGCACATCCTTATCTATAATAAGGGAGTAACTAAGTCCGCCATTAAGGTGGATACCTTCTCCGCATTGTAATTTGTAAGGATTTTAGCAGTATTGATCTAATCATAAATCTTTGATTGTGTAAAGATGTGCAAGTTACATTAGAATCACGCAGTCCGCCTTTGTCGCATTTAAGACCATTTATCGTTGCTTGTGATCCTTTTGGTAAGGATTTGACTATATTTTTTCTTTTCTTTTTTTCTTTTTCAGTTAAATTTCAATGACGTGAGAAAAAAGGCATTTCTATATTAAAGTTAAAAGCTATGATATTAATCTCAGACCACTTATTGATCCGGTCGAGTTCGGGTATCTTTAGCTGTTTTTTTTCTTTTTTTTCTCCAACTCCAAACCAATAATTCCTTAATACAATAATTGATACCATAATAAAATACATTCACGGACATAATAAACCATGAATTTGTTAAAATATACTTTGAAATTTTCATTTTTGAGGACGTTTGTTGATAATACTCAATATATATATATATATATATATATATGGGTAAAGTGTGTGTCATTTTTTTTTTTTGGTACATTGTGAGGAGATATCCCCATTCAACCTTCTCCGGGCATCATGCCCTCGGGGTACGGCCCGTTTGGGCTAGCCCCTCATTGTAAGGGTGAGTGCACTAAGCTTCGCAACCGGAGAAAGGACGAGACTAATCCCCCAACCGAAGATTTTTTGGCTTATCCTCTGGCCCTCAAAATTTTTCCAAGAAACTACTTGAGGCAGGGTTTGAACCCTGCACCAAGCAATCCCTTGGGAGCTCAGCTGCCAACTGAGCTACCCTTGGAGGTTAAGTGTGTGTCATTTTAAAAGATGTAAAGTTGTGTCATTTTAAGAGAGAGAAAAAGATAGATAAAGGATGAGAGAGTTGACAAAAAAATAAAGGTGTGAGTCTCACCTCTTTGTGAGAGTAAAAGGATATAAGTTGTGTTATTTAAAAGGATAAACATTTTTTTTTTCTCTCTATATATATATATATATATATATATATATATATATAACCACATGTTGTTAAAATTATGTCTGAGTAACTGAAAAAAAAAAAAACTTCAGTAAACTCAATTGTTACTTAATATATACTGTAATAGTATGTCAAAAAAAGTATATAAGAGTACTATTATTTTCTTATAAGAACTTATTTTTTCATATAATTTTGTTTAAAGAATAAATTACTTCTACATCAATAATTCCTTAGAATTTTTTTTGCCTAGGAAACAAAAAAAACGCTCACACAGATAATTATCTCGTTATATATCCCAAAAATGGTGGTATTGACATTATATTTTTGGCTAAACTTTAAATATAGTTCCCTTAATTTTTTAATCACTTATTTTTTCTATAATTTTTCGTTTAAATTATAATTTATAAATGGGAATATACCAAAAAATATTCTTCAATTATAATATATAATCCAACTCTTTTCTCCATTTTTAACAATTTCAAACTTAACTCACACAAATCTGTTGTTTAAGGTTTGAAAATGATTATCCAGGAATGAAATATAATTTGACGATTTTACTATATGAAAGGTAAAATAGACGGACAGTACTGTATATAATTTTAAGCGGCATTTAAGTTGATAGAAGTGAAAATAAATTATATTAATTTTTTTTTTAGGAATAAGTGGTTTTAGAATAAATTATATCAGGGTATATTAATTCTGGGCCATAGAATTCTTATGTTGCATGAGGAGGATTCTACGTCCCTCAGACACAGCCAGTTGGGATCCCACGTAAGAGAAAAATAAACAAAAAAACATGAGAATAAACAAAAAAACATGAGGTGCTACTTTCGAAGGGACAGCTGGAGAAAAAAATCTAATTCCTGCAACATAAGATTTGATTTTCCCATTAATTCTATAATTGTTTTTTTTTTTAGCTTAGAATTCAAAATATAAACATAAGTGAGTTGATGAAAGACTGTATTTCATTTGCTTAAAAACAAAATTGATGGCGAAGTTCTAAAGTCTGAGCTGAAATGATTATGGCATAGCTTCAAAGCCAAGCACAATATGGGAACATCATAATTTTGCCGTATCTCATGAAAATAATAACAACTACCATAAAAAGGAGTAGCCTCACTAGACATAATAGTATCTCAATATGATACTGTAATGCCCTTACTCCTATTGGTTAGAGTAAAGTTCTGAACCAATTACAATGTCTCATAATCAGCCAAAGCGTCCATTTCTATGATCCACCAAACGCATATACTATTGTCTTTCCTTCAAAGTTAAGCACCAACAAACAATATTCACTTACATGCTCAAAATCCCATAATGTCACACATTACAATCTTCCCCTCAAGACATCATTACAAAACACAAAAATTGTTAACAAAAGCTAGCTAGCTAGAAAACCATTGAACCATCCTCTCCCTATCCCCACCATGCTTCTGCTTTATCTCTTCCTCCTTCTCCCACTTTGTTCTCTTCCCCACATTGCATTCTCATCTCATTGCACCATAGAAACCGCCACTAAAACATTCCAAAAATGCATGAACCTTCCAACCCAACAAGCCTCCATAGCATGGACCTTTCACCCTTACAATTCCACCTTAGAACTTGTCTTCTTTGGAAGCTTCATTTCACCTTCTGGTTGGGTTGGATGGGGAATCAACCCTAGTTCGCCGGAGATGACCGGAACTCGTGCCTTAATCGCCTTTCCGGACCCAAACTCCGGCCAAATAGTCCTTCTACCTTATATCCTAGACCCAACCGTCAAGCTCCAAAAATCTCCTTTACTCTCTCGTCCTCTTGACATCCACCTCCTCTCTTCAACCGCCACCATGTACGGCGGCAAAATGGCCACCATACACAACGGCGCCGCCATCCAAATATACGCCACAATCAAACTAGAATCGAACAAAACCAAAATCCACCTTATTTGGAACAGAGGACTTTATGTTCAAGGCTACTCACCAACCATTCATCCAACTACAACCAACGATCTCTCTTCAATTGCAACATTTGACGTGTTGTCAGGATCATCAGCTTCTCAACACACAGATCTCACAACGATGAGAGTGATTCATGGCACCATAAATGCAATCTCATGGGGTATTCTGTTACCAATGGGAGCCATCACTGCACGTTACCTTAGGCACATCGAAGCATTAGGCCCTGCATGGTTTTATGCACATGCAGGGATGCAACTCTTTGCTTTCGTTTTAGGAACTGTTGGGTTTGCAATCGGAATCCGCCTCGGGGAACTGTCGCCGGGAGTGGAATACAAGCTTCACCGGAAGCTTGGGATTGCTGTGTTTTGCCTTGGAGCTTTGCAGAATCTGGCATTGTTGTTTAGGCCAAAAGCAAGGAACAAGTTCAGGAAGTATTGGAAATCGTACCATCACTTTGTTGGGTACTCTTGTGTGGTGCTTGGGTTTGTGAATGTGTTTCAAGGGTTTGAAGTAATGGGGGCTAGCAGGTCTTATGCTAAGTTGAGTTACTGCTTGGGACTTTCTACTTTGATTGGTGTTTGTATAGCTTTGGAGGTGAATTCTTGGGTTGTGTTCTGTAGGAAATCCAAGGAAGAGAAGATGAGGAGAGAGGGACTTATTGGAAGTTCTGACAAAGGGAGTGGCATCCATAATTGACATTCATCAATATATGTTTTAAGGATCTATACATTTTGGCTTTGTCATCTCATTGGTGTTTTTACATTTTTTTTTTTTTTACCAATTTTAATGATTTTGAAAGGCTAGCTTCCTGAATGGTCAAATGATGTTTGTGGGCAATATATTTGAAACATAACAGAGTAAGCATGATGCATGAATTCAAAGAACTTGATTCGTAGAATTCAGTTAAAGTTTGATTGAGAGCGACGTGGAGGTGGTCCTGATACAAATTTAAAACCAAAAGGGGTAAACTTTTGCATTGGGGGTAGCAATGCCTTACAACTTCTTGTCTCGTAATCAAGTAATGTGAATTTTTAGCATTTCACTCCAAAAGGGGTAAACTTTTTGATTGGGGTAGCAATGCCTTATTGCCTTTGAAGTTTGAACCATCTTAAAGTGGCAGGGGGTGTTAATACGTGTCTCGCGCTGATAACCCGTCCCTCCTCAAAGATAATTGGGATCAGCTTGGTATTGTAATTCACATTTTAGTGTATTGTATTTTTTTTAGGGGTTGATTTTCGAGGTATTCTTTCCGTTCTTCCTAAAATCAAAATCATTTGGTTTCGGGGTTCGTGAAATTTATATTTTTTGTAATTTTATTTTGGATTATATTATGAGAAAAATTATATTTACAAACTCTTGCAAATTACACCAAGTATGACCGATCATACTCTAATTAAGAGTCTTGCAAACTATACTAAGTATGACCAATCATACTTCAATTAAGAGTGTATAACAAGTCATACTTAGTGTAATTTGTAAAAAAAGTTATAAATAAATCCTTCCCCGTTATATTATTACTTATTATGACTACTCTTTTTTCCCAAATTCTAAAGCGATATTGTTTTGAGTTATAATATATAAATGGGTTCACTTTTTCTGTATTTACTGCAGATAAGTTATCTGCAGTATATCTAATATGATATCGTTTTGGGATGAAAAATCATGATATTTTTATAATTTTAATTTATTTCAGGGTTATTATAGTCTCTATAATTATAATATTTTAATATTTCAATCTCAAAACTATGTCATTTTAAAAATAAATACAAATAATTTATATGCAATAACTGCAGAAATATTTTTCTTTATATAAATTTGTATAAATATCGTTCAAGTCAAGCCAGTCATTGAGTAGGTCATCGTCACTGGGTCAAGTCCAAATCTAAAACATTTGAATGTAATCAAAATATCAAATGTAGTTGGGGTTGAGTTAAACCAGGCCTAGGCCTAACCCATCCAATAAATACTCCCATGCATACTGACATTCCGAATAGGACTGCAGGATAACTAAAGGTCTATTTATTTATTTTTATCTTACCAAAATATAACTAAACATGAATAAAAAGACAATTCCATATCTATTCTTCCTCATTTGAACTTTTATGTTATTCGATATTCCTTGCTCCCACTATCGATTACATATACCTTTTTTTTATTTCCCATCAGAGCTATAAGGGAATCACTTAAGGTAGAGACATGATAAATGAAAGGATATGATCTGCATTTCAGATGTGAAAATGTCATGAAATAAGGAGCAAATTCGATTCAACAAGGCTGGGTGACTTACTTCTAGTGTAAAAGTTAACAACATGATTTACCTGGCACAGTTTGAGAGAAGAAACAGGTTCAAACAAGGGTATAAGGGAGGAGAAATCTTATATACAAAAGTTTTCACTTTATTGGGCTCTTATTAAGTCTTCTGGTGGATGTAATATTACTTCCCGAAATCAGCTAAAATATAAAGTACTTGATATTTGCTTTGAAAGAAATTGTTGTTTGACAAATATTTAAAGCAATTGGAATCTATTCTAATATACTATAAAGTCTTGTCTCAATTTAGTAAAATATTCTAAAATAGTTGCAATGTCAAAAAAACAAAAACACAAGCAAAAGCAGATTTTAGGAAATAACCATCGACTGCCTTTTCAAGTATTTTGAATGGAAAGCAAGTAGTTTTCACAACGCCGGAATTGATAAGTCGAAGTTAAACAAAAACTTAAAACTGAAATATAAAATAAGCCATCAAACAAGTTCGTTGATAAAAATCAGTTGTTTCAATTCAAATCTATTGATATTTCAGTTATGCAAACAGAAACAGCTACAGCACCTAAATGCTATGACTTACTATAAAAATATTGAACATAGTGCAGATGATGAGTAAAATATATTATTATTATTATTATTATCGCGATGATAATAACCAGTATGAATGGCAGAGACCCTTGACTAGCTAACCATCCATGACTAGATGACAAACACTACCAAACTGCTGACAAAACCTAGGTACCAATATAATCAGCCAACCACTGCTTTCTAACTTTGTAGTTACAGCAAAGCTTTTACAGTAATATATAATGAACCTGCATCATGTCGACATCAAATACCTACTCAACAGTTTTATAAATGATGATTTTTTTTTTTTTTTTTTTTTTGGTACATTGCCAGGAGGTATCCTCATTCAACCTTCTCCGGGCACCATGCCCTCGGGGTACGGCCCGTTTGGGCTAGCCCCTCATTGTAACAGTGGGTGCACTAAGCTTCGCAACCGGAGAAAGGACGAGACTAATCCTCCAACCGAAGATTTTTTGGCTTATCCTCTGGCCCCCAGAGATTTTCCAAGAAACTGCTTGAGGCAGGATTTGATCCCTGCACCAAGCAATCCCTTGGGAGCTCAGCTGCCAACTGAGCTACCCTTGAGGGTTAAATGATGACTTTTTAGATTAACTAATTTCGTGACAAACTCTTTAGACGTTTCATTTGATGACAAGCAAATCTTTATTTTTAAAGGACCAAAGTAGAGGATGTACTCAAGAATTATTAGTGTTCGCGGTCTGGATTGGATTGGTTTTGGAAATAAAAATCATCTGATCCAATCTCTTCGGTTTGATCATGTAATCATCCATTCGGTTTGGATTTTTTTCAAATCCGATTCGATCCAATCTAATTTTTTTCGATTTGAATTGGATCGATTTTCAATTTTTTAAAAATCCTAAAATTAGTTTCATGATTATTGTGCAACGTAACATCTTTTGTATATATTGACTTTGTAAAAAAAAATTGAAATAAAAAAAATCAGTAAACGATAATATAATTTTTTTTTTTGTTAGCAATAAGATATGAAGCTCTACACAGATAAAATTTTGTTGATGAAATATAACTAGATTTTTTCTTGAGTTTAATTGATGAATTAATGCGTCTTGAGTTTATAAATTTTTGAGCTATGATTGGGGAAATGACCAAGTAGGTAGAGGGGATCGGTTTGGATTGGATCAATTTTCATCAACTCATCCAAAAAACGATTCAATCCAATTAAAATTTTGTAATGTTTTTTCGGTTTTTGATTTTTCGATTTCTGATTTATTCGGTTATCGATTTTTCGATTCGGTCACTGTGGTTTGGATCGATTGATGAACACCCCTGTCAAGAATCGTTTGAAAAAATTCATTTGTATTTATTTTTCTGACAAATTATTTTATTAATGCATTGCTTTATTGTATGATGCTTACAAGGTCTACAAATCTTTCAAATGACATAGCAGTGTAAAAATGGCCAACTCTACTGCACTCTAATATAATATCTTTAAAATAAAAAGTATAATAACAATTCTAAAAACTCCATAGATTTGCAATAATGCCAAATGGGGGAAAATCCACTTCTTACACATGAAGTATGAATTTGTAGCGTAAAATATTCCCCTTCAGAAAAAGAATCAGAATATATTTGGAACTTATTCACGGGGACCCTAGATGGGTATCCCTTCAATGTTTCACACTAGTAATCAACAAAAACCTCAGATACAATCTGCTAAAAGCAAACCAAAATGATGGATGAAGAAACAAACAATTCCTGAGCAGAACCCACAACTTTGAAAGACATTACAGGCAAAAATCTACCCCTCAAAAAAAAAAGAAAAAGGAAAAAAAGAAATGCTGTCCATCTTTTTATATTGCTGCCTCACAAGTGATGCATGATACACTTCCGCTATATCCCGCAATCAGATTTTACATCTCAATCAAATCCCAAAACCCCAAAACCTAAACAGTAACTCAAAAAACTCAAGCCTTAACATTCCCTTGTAACTTCTATCTCTATATCTGAATCCTCAAAACAGGCACTCCAGTTAGCTCTAGATAACGAAACATCTTTTGTCTTAAAAAAGAAATACAGTAACAACAGTGGTGTGCAAAATTCACAATTCACCTGCTTCACTGGATTATCTTCACCTACAAGTTCGTGTCATCAAAATGATCTTCCTATGTAGCAATTCCTGAAAGATAGAAGTTTATCAGTGTTGGCATACAAGACAATCAAAATTGCAAAAACTAAAAAGGACATATTACAAGTAAAATGCATCAAATCTAATTTCCATCCAATTCATATGTTGCTGTAAAAATGGAACACTATAAAGGAACATACCGCAGAAAGAGTTCTAGTGAATTCTAGATGAGTTTTACTAAATGACAAAATCAAAGATAAATTCATATCAGCTCCCTCTCACTTACACTCCCGATCAACTTATTAAGACTTGAGAGATTGAGATTCATTGATTGGAGAAATTTGACCAAAGTATAAAATATCATACAGAAAAAGTTAATGTAAAACTGCTTTTTCAATACCTGTGACCTCTCAATTTTCACAGCTTATAAGTAGATTTCATAAAAGATTAGAAAGAAAAACAATATAAATGTGAGGAACACCATCCACAGTTATGTAGTAGGAATTTTAGCATATGAAGAACATGTCTCTCAAAAGATGTGCCCATGCAGCAAGAAGCTTACTTATCCAATAAAATAAGGCACAAAGATATTCTTATTAAGGACACGGATTTGAGAATACAGGGAAAGGGGCAAGTATAAAGAACTAAAACATATATAAATGGTCAATGTCACTCCCTTGTACAGGAATAACCGTAGAGCAATAGAATAATTGACATGATTGGATGATGTCATTGCAACTGTCGAAATTATAGGGATTTA